TATTATTTTATTCTCATGGTATTACAGAGAATTTGCCATTGCAATTGCCATTTGAAGATGATGTCAATTATGAAGTCCGAGCCAATCCAAAGGAAAGTCCTTTGCAGGTAGAATATTTTATTCACAGCATACCTTTATGTACTTGCACGTGTGAGTCAAGACCACGTTCTGAAAATGTTTGTTTGACCAAGTCATGAAGGGGTCTATTTTTCAGAAGTGAATTTTCCACTTTTGATGAGTGATAGCTATCGTAGCCTACGTAGCTAGAATGTGTTATAGCTGTTAGTTGGGGAAGAAATAATTCACTCGTCCGTTCAGTCGTTAGGTCGTAAACAATTTTTGGTGGTAATTCCCCTGACCAGGGTATTTCATTAGAGGGCTGATTTTTGTAAACAGAATAGCTGCCAAAGCGATAGACTGATCTTTCGTGTTTTCAGTCAAACAAGTGCTTTTAAATTAAAGACTATTTGGTATACCACACAGGTGGTTGTATAATTCGATCCATCAATAGCTTTGACAGCTGCTTTTAACTGAAACTTTGCCAAAAATCATGTGCGAGGGTTTCACACTTAAGAAGTGTTTTTCTTCTGCGAGTTGCAATCTAACTTCCTGTTGCGACCACCCCTTGCAAGCAACCAGTCTTCCAAAATACCAAACTTTTCCAAGTGTATTCACTATACTTGGGACCTCTTGTAAGCAACCACTTCTTGTAAGCCACCAAAATCGATTCTTTTGAGCTGTAAGTTTGAAATATTCTTTGACAGATAAAAGAGTGGAAATTGGATAATAAGGTGTGGAAACATTATCACATTCCTGGGTAGTACAAGAGACCGAAATTTATCATATGCTAATGAGGCAAAATTTTGACCCAATATGGTCTAAGCTCTCATAAGCGACCACCAAGTCAAACCTTCTGTAAGTGACCACCTACAATCATGGACAAAAGTGTTGACACATTTGAGCAAAACAAACGCTTTCTATCGGCGTCCTTCCGTAATTGAAAAAACATCTTTTTTGTCGATATCCAAACCCCCCTCCCCCTTTTGACGTGGAAAATATTTTTATTTTTCAAGTTGTAGTGGTGGGCCAATTTCACTCCTTCACTCCTTCACTAGGTCACTTCTGTTAGACATTTGGAACCCCGGCGGGGGAACTCCCATATGAAAAGGTCAGGGATGCTCGTCGGAAGATTAGAATTTAACTCTAAAGGAGACTAATGTGGGCGTTGCTTGAGCTTCATTAGATCCCTAAAAGATAGCACTTAAAACTGAATAGGTTCGATTACTAGCCATTGTTCAAGTAAGGATCCCGTGCACACTTGTTGACCCGACTCGCATACTCGAGAGATCAGCGGAAAACAAAGAGCATTTCTTTATTATTATTTCTTTGAGTGCACCCTAAAGGATACTTTGACAGCTAAGAATGGTGACATTTCGTCATCAATATCTTAAGTGAGACCAGAATCCTTGATTTGCACACAAGACGACAATTAATCATCCCCTACCTTTTCATATAGGATTCCCCCCCAGGTTTCGAACATCACGCTGTCCAAGGCCATTGCACATTGTCAAGTTAGTTTTTCTTTGAATTTCTTACGCAAGTACTCAATATCTTACTGCAGAAATGATCTACAATGAATAGATGAATAGATATTTGCACGAACGTGTTTATACATAGAAGCTAATTATATAAATAGCTCATTTCCCGAAGGGGTCTGCTTTATACAGGTTTAACCATACTCGATTGCCGAAAACTGAGGAGATATTGAAAATCACAAAATTGATGAGCTGAAGGAATTTTCGAATTATGATTCAAACCGTGATTAAAAGTTTTGGATGATCAACAGACAAGAGAATTGAGAATTTGAACGACACGTTTCGCTAGTATTTATACAGTGTTGTAAGTAAATACTTCAAAGATGAATATGGACTTGGCAAAATGATTTGAACAAAATAGCTGATAAATAGAAAAAAAAAGATATAACACAAGACTGGGAGTTAGCAGTCACTAATATCGCTTTGGAAAGGGAAGGAAAAAAAAAGAAAAAAAAAAAGAAGCTATTACAGCACGAGGTATTCTTATTCATTTTGGTAGCCCATCCAAGCATGAACCCCACCTAACAGGGCTTAACTTTATTGAGCGGACGAGACGCGGTGCTGTCCTTGTGGTATTATGACTCTACGTTGGATAATTTTTTTTTTATTTCTAAGATCTCTCAAAAGGCAACCAAGAAAGAAAAAATCACTGACGTGGCCTGGGAAAGTAAAGAACGAAAAAAATGGGGAGCAGAAGTAGAAAATCTGGTTTTTATGAGTAGCAACTGTTCCCACGAACTGTCGCATTGTCAGCAATAGCTTGTGTCATGCGAGACTTCTGCTGCTGAGTTCAATCACTGGGTTTGTTATCAGCAAAATCGCTCAGACAAATTTCTTGAATCAAAATCTACACGGACGTAAATTTGGGTTTTTACGGTATTATCTTACAAACACGATTTGTTGTTTTCTAACGTGTGTGGACTCAATTTGTGCTTTTTTAAGCGAGACCACTAAATATTGCAGCGCACTAAAGCGTCGCTAGTGCGCAGAGACTGGATATGAGTCTGCGGAAAACTATCATAGTATTCTGCACTGCTTTTAAGCCTCCAAATACTAACCTAAACTACAACTAGACGGTTTCTATTTCAATGTTTATTTTATTTTTTTCATTTTTTATTTTTTAATGCTTTTACAGTCTTACAAACATCACTTACAATGCATGAGAAAATATAAAACCTATTTACAATACTTTGCATTGCGTTACTTACAATACGCAATAATTACTGATTATGGCATAACCTACTTACACATTACGTTACCTAATACGTAATATGTAATTACTTACTTAGAGAAAAAAAAACCTTGCAACAAATTACTAAGAGAAACACCTTAAATGGTAAGGAAGAATTTCCACTTCTGTTGAAATTCCCTTTCACCATTCAACATGGGAGCCATATATTTTTCTATCTCTATTTTATCCTGCACTAACGAGATGAAGTCGCTGAAAAAGAACATAGTGTTATTTAGCGCGTTGAAATATAAAAAATAATTTATTTGCCTGGCATTATGAGGTGGTTGAGGGTCAAACAGTGAGTACAGGGATGAGTAATTCCAAATAATACCTCTAGCTCGGAGAGAAGTAAACTCGCATTACTTATGGTAAAATACCAACTTTGGAACTTAACCTAAAAGGGAGATACTTGTGGGCAGCTAATAAACAAATGACGTATGTTTTGACTATCAGAGGGGCAGAAAGGGCAGGATGGGGAGGCAACCTTCTCCATTTTGTATAATATACTATTCGTGGCTAAAATGTTATGTATAATTTTGTGCTGGTCACATTGGTTTGATAGCTCAGTTGGTAGAGCACTGTACCGGTATCGCAGAGGTCATGGGTTTAAATCCCGTCCAGGCCTGAATTTTTCTCAGGCTTTAATTTCACAGCTGCTTTAGTTGTGTTATAACTGCGATGATCATCTATGTCTTCATATCTTTCTCCGCCGTTCAAATATACAATTTTCATATATTCATTTGCAGTGTCCATGTAGTTCGAAGGTATTGCTCCGCAGAAGTGAAGATAATTATTTGTTGTTTCTTTCACTTTTGCCACACAAAAATCTACGAACAAGACGTCAAAAGTAACCATTTTGCTTTTTCATCAAGTTGTTTCCAGCAGACGTGCACATCGTATCTGGGACTTTGGGACATCCAAATATGCAGTATGCATTCTTTGTTCATTTTTATGTTACCGTAAACGTAAAAATAATTGCGAACCCAGTATGAAATTCAGAGCAAACCAATAAAAGTTTCTGTTATAAATCGGATGAAACTAATTATAAACCAAAAAAGTCAAACCGAGTGATAAAAACAACTTCTTGAACACTTGCTCAACACGTTGCTTAGCATGTGACAAAAATCTTCCCAGGAACACGATACATGTAGTTAATCGGCGGTCAAGTCTAAAATCTAGTGAATAATTTTTTCTTCTTGAACGAAAACTCATTCCAAATATAACAAGGGTTTAAACTTTTGTATGGCTAACATTAAGAACCTTAGTTTAGTCACATCAATAACAAACTTCCCAACAGGTGTTGTGCAACCGTAGCCTTGGTGATGCAAAGATCTGTTGTTCGTTGCATGGGTGAGAATCACAGAACTGCAAGACCGTAACTTCTTCGGTTATATGTGTTTGCCCAGTTCTTTCTGAAGGCCAAAATTAGCTTTAAGAGGATCTGTTTAACAGGATCTGGATCTGTTTGATCTTGTATTTGATTCATTTACGTTTCAGTGGACA